TTTCTTTGGTTGAAACCACAGTCAGTTGGCGCACACGTGATAATAAAATAAATACGATATTTACTATATGGGTGCCGCCATCTTGAATGCAGCATAAACTAAATAAGAGACAAGTTGTGAAACGCGTTTTTCAGGTTCCTACAAATCTGGACAAAAATACCAATCTTTCACAAAAATACGATCCGTTGGGGTTATATTAAGCATGTAGGTTTCCGAACTAACAATTAAATCTATTCTGAATTCTCTGTAGGAAAAGGACATAACCTAAAATTTCACACAACTATTAATGGAAGCTAGGAGAGACAGCTCATTGAGAACAGGACCAATATATACACCTGACTGAAAAGCCAGTGAGTTAGACAGTGCCCTGAACTGATGCTATGCAGGTCACGAAGGTCCGGTAGCTTTTAATTTGAGCATTTTGGAAATATTATGTTAATATAATTTCGCCGATCGATTAATCATTAATTGTCATAGGGAATGCAGTTATCTTCAGTTTACTCATGGCATAACAGACACACATCTGTTAACTATTACTCCTGATTTCTTCGGTTCTATAGTAGTGTACTGGGCAAAGCAATAATTTCTCATGGTCCTCCTTTCCCACAAATTTCGTGAGGGAAAAAACAGAATAGTTAAATCCTGCTTTTTTATTTTTCATCAACACTAGATATTGAGTGCAACAATCGGAAAATGAGAGGTAGCTATTTTATGGGAGAAACTGATTAAAGTCAAGTGTTACGTGCAACTGTCACCATGTATATTCATAAGGTGGTATCCTAGAGTATCTAACATGTTTTTGAAAACAGCCAGACACCCTATGGTCTTGAATCACTATTGCTGGGTAGTATTGCCAGTAGGAGGGGTGGAAATCACAATCCTGGGTCACTGCTGTCATTATGATGTTCGATTAATTTCTCTAGTACAAGCGAATTAGTAGGAATTGTGAAAACACATTCAAGTGATATTTGGCAAGTTGAAGGCAGGGCGAACATAACCATCAGTGGCACTCCCCACTGAGTAAACTACTAGTCACTGTTAAAGACCAGGCTTGATTCTGCCGCTACAAGCAACACTTTCCCTACCAACTGGCTTAGTGCTTGAAATCTCGTACCAAGCCATCCCAAGCTCATGACATAACAGCGGACTAAATATTTTTTTTCAGAAATTTGCGAAGGAAGCAGACGAGCACTCTGTTGAGGCTCAACAATTCCAGTGTTTCGACATGAAGTTTGCTTCATGGGGGTGCAACTTCCGACTTTTAAGTCTGCTGTCACCATGGTTACATGGAAGTGATGAATCAATATGCAATCTTCGCTGTAGATTTACCACCACAAGAGGGTGCTATATGCGACCAACTCCAATGCCAATCTTTACAAAAAAACACAATACTTCACAGGGCATCCCACAATTGTTAGTGCTTTTGAGCTTATTTGGTGAACGATTTTGATCTGACACAATGCTTTGATGACACAGAAATAAAGTCCACACAATTGTGGAGAAATTTGATCAATGATCTTTCAAAATTTTACTGCAAAATGTGATGCAAAGTTCATGAACAGTTTCTGTTTTCATTAAAAAAAATGACTAACAATTTGAATGTTGAAATTGTTTTTTATTTTGTAAACTATAACACACAAACGTACATGTATGCCATCGGTGATCTCCATGTATCCACAGCATCATGCAGAACAGTTTATACATAAACACTAAAAAAGACATTATACTGCAGTTTTCAATTTACAAAACAAAAAATCCATGACTAGGGCATTAAATAATCATAAAACTGTTTACAGTAATTTGTATTGTGGGGAGATTTTTGTTTTATGCAAATGTCAAGGTCCCAAAATCATCCATAAATATATTACTATGCAATGTATATGGCTACATATATTAAGTTGTGAAAGCCGAAAGTGTTTGTGCAGAGAGCAATTGTTCGCTTTTGCACATTATTCGATTTGTGGTTCAAAAGTTGCAACTCAAACCATTGGGCTAGCTGGTTTGTGTAGAAACTCAAAATTTGAACGAGTGTCTGCCCTCCCCCCCAAAATCAGATGCAACTTCCATGGATATTAGCCAGAATCCCATACAGTTGATCCAAAGTTTGGGAGGAGAGATGCATCACTATTGAGAAAACAATAGTTCACACAATGACAGCCGACAGTTTCTTTGGAGAGGTCTATCTTTCTGCCTATTGGGGAAGTGGGGGAACCCAATCACAATAAGACTCCCAAGCAACCATCACAGTACAACTACTAAGAGTGCAGTTCATGCTGAATGAACAGTACAAGGTGCAAGGCATTGATTTCATATGCACCCCTTCCTATTCCCTTAGATATTTCAAACTTCTGAAATGCGCGACCAAAATAGCATGTTTGAAGGGAACAGATCTGGCTGAATATAGCAGGCACAAACTATACAAGTTAGTGAATCAGAAAAATATACATATACTAATGTGCCAATACACATGTGGCATTAAAATTTGCATATTCTGTTTAAACTCAAAATTATGGAACCAGCCTTGACATGCTCTTCTCTTGAATACAAACAGACTGTAACCTCCCTGTTAGCAAGAGCAACATAATTACACACACCTGTTAATATACATTTAGGAACAGTGTTTTACATCTTTAGATCAACAGCTTCACATCTGAAGATTTACAGTTTTTAGCTTTACATTCTGAGCTTCAGCTTCACATCTTCAGCTTTACATTCACAGCTTCAGCTTTGCATCTGATGATTCTGAGCTTCAGCTTTACATTCACAGCTTCAGCTTTGCATCTGAAGATTCTGAGCTTCAGCTTTACATTCACAGCTTCAGCTTTGCATCTGAAGATTCTGAGCTTCAGCTTTACATTCACAGCTTCAGCTTTGCATCTGAAGACTCAGAGCTTCAGCTTCACATTCAGAGCTTCAGTTTCACATTCAGAGCTTCAGCTTTGAATCTGAAGATTTACAGCTTCACATTCAGAGCTTCGGCTTCACATTCAGGGCTTCAGCTTCACATTCAGAGCTTCAAATCTGAAGATTTACAGCTTTACATTCAGAGCTTCACCTTTGCATCTGAAGATTCAGAGCTTCAGCTTAGCATCCAAAGATTTACAACTTCAGCTTTGTAAATTCCGATATACCACTTAAGCTTTAAACATTTTACAAAAGAAACAGGGAGAACACCAAACTGTTAATAAGTTACAGTGACAATGGTATCCATGGCGTTGTGCAAGACAATGACTGTCAAGGAAAAGGGGTTTGGGGTGCTGCAATGGGAAATGTCAGTGGTACAGAGGTGAATGACTGAATATGAATTGAAAGAGGAATACTTAATGTAATGATTAGAAGTGGTAATACTAGGAAAGCAGCTTTAGTGAATAACTGAATTGCATGTAGTTTGTTGCTTGTAATATGAGGAACACAAAGTGAGAAAGGACACTGTGGCTTTGATTAGTGAATATGGGAATTTACTTGTAGAAGAGAGATCTGGCTGGATGGTTTTAGGGATACAATGGGAGATGAATGAGTGAGAAGGGGTCTGAGGGGACAATGATTACAGTGAAATCTACATGAGCCAGCATGTGAATTTTGTTGAAATGCTACACAGATTATTGCTCCTTTTAAGTATTTTACAACATGTCATTTAAGAGGTCAAAGTAACGCAAATTACACATATATAAGCGCATGAACACACAAACATGTACAGCATTGAGAGTATGTCAATACCATAATGTATGTATATAATCAGGGGTAGGCATGTATTTACACGTCTTGTAATGTACGGTAGTGGAAGACTTGTAGAGCTAAACTGGGAAGTACATACACTCTAAACTCAACTAAACACCTGAGGAACCAAGTGTAAATGTAAGCGGCACAGAACATGATTCAAAATAAACACGATTCTGGTATTATTTTAAGATCAGCATAGGTAAATGGATGTATCTTAAAATGCTTTTCCCTAGGTTTGTTTGTTTGCATATAAATTACTCTGAAATACAAGTAGTTCTAGTCTCGGTACAATTTAAAGGTAGTTGTTGTAAGATCTTATAGATTATTTACACGTTACCGTAACAACCACGACTAGAAGAAAAATACAATTTAGACCAATCTCGAAACAAACAGCTTGCCACAAACAATCAATTGAGGCTTTCTTACAGTGACACATTCTTATACACAGTAACTACATGTAGCTCAGTTAAATATACACACAAATATTTTTAAATACATTATTTTTAAAATCTAGAACTCAATTACTGATTCTGAGTTACAAGCATTTTCTTTTCTTTTAAATTTTTAAATAACAACGCTAGCGATGTAAATTTCAGGACACAATTTGCACAATTTTTGTTTTTCTGATCTACTTAGCATCAACACAATTTCAATTTTTATTGATATATCATATATGTAACAATATCAACAACTGTAGTTCAGTCGACCGGCCAGCCAGCCAGGATAGAATCGGCTGAACTGCTAGACCTTCCATTGACCATGATGGTTTTAGAACAATCCTAGCACTTGCGTGACCTCTAACATTTGAGATAGTTATAGAACTTTTTACACTGCACAGGTTGGAATATATTATTTGTTTTTAAAAAAAGACAAGGGTTGAAAAAACCATCATCGTCAAGGAAACTGTAAATAGGCAGTAGTTATTTATTGCTAGCATTGTTAACTGTTTTCTAAAACACGCATGGAATGAGAAAGTTAAAGCAGCTTTTTTTTTACTTTTTAAAAAAAAAAAATGGGGAAACAAAACTGGAGCCATCGTATCGACATACACAACATGATTGACAATTACGATAATTTTCTGTTTGTTTAAAGACTGACTTTGAGTAGGATATGACGACCAGGTTTAAGAAAAAAATAACCGATGAGAAGAAATATACAGTCTCTCAGCACAAGAGATTTAACTTGAAACTTGTGTGCCTCAGTTTGCTTCCATCGTTTGCTATCAAGCAGAATACATACAACACAGAGCATTAATATAAAGAGCAAATGAGCAATAACACTGTACACTAAATATCACGTGTATTCATTCATATACAATCTCCATTTGATGAAACATGCGTCGTTTATATACATTTCTATATTGTATTAAGGAGGCCCACTACATGCAACACATCAGTAATGGTCAAAAAATTATGCGATAGTTTGATTTAAAAAAAAAATCAATTTAGACGCAACAGGTGGCAGTTTCATTTTTTTTCTCTTCAAAATGGTTATGTTCTTAATTGGAAACAGTGATTGAAGGTTAATAATAGATATTTCAGCTGTCCGACTGATAAGCGAGTGGTCGCTCATCCTGTTGTAGAGACCCTCCTTAATGGTGACGTAGAATTCAAACCCATCAGCTTGGTTTTACACAGCTGTCTGAGTTGGGGTTAGTGAATGTAGATCATTTGTTTCACAAACCCATGATGCAAAGTCCACATCTTCGGCCTCTGATTTCCTAATAAACCGATGGTTCTGATGGGGGAAAAAAGCAGAAAGGTTCGCTGATGTTGAGTGTCACAGAAGATTCAAGTACAACATGTCATTATTTTTAACTATACTTTATGCCAAAAAAAAACTTGTCACCTTTCAGAGAAAAAATCTTTTCAAAACATACAATTATGACTTGTATGCCGCAATAAAAACGATGTCAACAAGTTCTAAAGAAATTATAGAGACGGATTTTTTTAAACAAGAAAACAGTGGTGCAGCGCCCTCATGCCATGCCATGAGAGCAGATCCTCTGGCAACCATAACATTCTGATTGACCAGTGATCACATGTGGCCACAGTGGTCTCTATCACTTGGTGGTTCCGCTACATTGCAGTACTCCTTCTTGCAGTTTTTTTTTTTATAGAAAAACCCCTGATAGAGAAGTATATAAACATATGAAAATATTGGTGGGGATATGTTAAAGATCTTCGCTAAGCACCATGGCCAGAATTGTGGCTATTTAAATTGAGGGTGCTAACCGGCTGTCAAAGTGATAAAGAGAGTGTTAAAGCCTTGATTAGAAACAGCTATGAGTTATATTTACTGTCATTGTTACATAACAGTGATGAAGAGTATATTCTTCACTGCACTTGAATCTTAAGAGGTTTCAAGGGA